AATAAGTAATACTCGAGCAAATCAAACGACAGTGTCTAGTACAAAAAGCTTCATTGGCATCATGCGTTTTTTAATTTGGTCGAATAGTACTTATTTGACAGTAATTGTTTCGGACGGATATTCAAAACAATTACTGTCAAACGGACGGATGCGTTACACACATTTGTGTCAGCAATGACTTTATTTTAAGGAACATTTTTGTGCATGTTATTCACTAATATTTAAATGTTTTCTAAATTAAAAATTCTTTTTTCCTAAAATTCTCCTCAAGTGATTTTTATCATTCTTTCCCTGAACTCTTCAATTGTACGTGAAAATAATAAACGTTAATTTCGCATTGAAAAACTACATAAATAATTGAACAAACATACGCAATTCTAAAACAAATAGTCGTTACATTATAGTGTAGGTAGGTACTGTTATATAGCATGTGCGTTTTTATTTTCATTTAATAATTAACTGACCTGAAATTAAAAAACACCAATTTGTAAAATTTATAATAATTAATTTTTTTGTCCTATTTCCTTATTATATCTTTTTTTTCTAGTTGGTTTTTAAAATTTCATGCTTGCCACACCTGTACGCTTCCACGGACGCTCCCATCGACACGTTAACACTGACACACAACTACACTAAAACTCACTGCACGTCCTACACATTACTTACACATTGCTTTTTGCTGTGATGCACCACTTCGCGTTTCCCACTAGGCGACAGCTGAAAATCAGTGCGTTGCTTTTGGGCAACACCTGCACTGAGCTATGGCCTGTTTGGCTTGCTGCAGCACTCACAACTTGCTTTTTAATTAATTGTAGATATATGTCGTTTATTGTGTATACTTATTTGATGTCATACCTTTTTGTTGTTTTCTATGTTTTGTGTTTTTGTTTTTGTCTTCTTTCTTTCTTTCGCTATTTGTTGTTTCATATTATTGTGTCTGCTTGTGGTAAGTCAATAAACGTATTCTATCTATCTATCTATCTAAATTGGTTAACATCTCAAGACAGTGAAAGTAAAGGTCATAAGCGGGCAACAGCGTGTAAGGGAAAAAGATGGAGAAATTTTATAAACTACCAGATTAAAAAATTATAAAAATACGGTTATATAATATGTAAGTATACATAAGTATTATAAATAACATATACATGTATAGTACTTTATTGCAGAGGCCGGGAAGTAAAGGATTGCTTGCGACCGGTGAAGACCGAGCACCAGCAAGGACTTGTATTAATACGTGTCAAGCAATCCCCGTTCCCGCCGAAGAGTAAAATAGTGCTATTCTCAAACAATATGATAAAATAATTAGACTAGAGAAAGAGAGAAATGTATAGATAGTTTGTATTAAAAATAATATTTGACATTTGGCTAATGTTGCCTCTTGTTTTAAATTGGGCGGAGTGTATTTTCTTTTTTACTGTATTTTCGTTATCGCTCTTCTGACTAGAACTCATTTTCGAGACGAAAATACAAAAAAGAAAATGGAAAAAACAGAAAACAATACTATACAATATATTTTACTGCGTTTTCTTTTTTTTTAAGTAAGCGGTTTAGGTAGTTTCATTTTAATTCTCGCAATTACGAACACAAGACAGAAAAATAACCATTAGTGCGTGAGTTTTTGTTCCATTTAGTAATGAACTGGCCTGAAATTGGTAAGTAACTAACAATACTCAGCGTCTGCGTTAGAGAGATGCCACACGATGCGTTGCGTGGGTACCACTTACGACGCGTTCCTATTATAATCGTGATGACAGATAGTCGTGCAGTGTACAGTGTCGTGCAGTTTACAGTGTCGTGGCTTGTACCTGTATTTAAATGAAGTTGTTCACGTATAGTACACAACGATTAACTGTCGTTCACGACTTTTTTGTCGTTACGACGACGCATTGTCGTGACAATGGGACGAGTTAGAACGACAGTCATCTGACGATGAATAAAACGTAACGATAAAAACGTGACGACAGATAGCCGCAGTTACTAGTGTCGTCACGTTTTATTTATCGTTGTCTGCACGTGTTCTGCTGCTCCCTCGTAACCCGTGCCCTCGGCTCATTTTGCACTAGCGTTGGGTTAGCCCGAGATGGGCAGGCGCCCGGGTCTTAACCCGGCCTTTTGTTAATGCTGGGTTTAAATCGTGTTAAAACCCATTAATCCCCGAAATCGAGGGCATAAACTATAAAAATATTTGTTGTGAATTGAGTTTTGTTAAAAAAAAATCTCTCGTCACTTTTCAGTTCATCTATAAACATTTGATATAATCCTAATGGAATTCTTCTTGATAACATTGGATGTACCCAAAACTTTCTTGTTTTCGTTTGCTTTGTTCTTTTCCTCCTCCGCCTTTTTAAAAAGTAATACGTTATTGAAATTTCATCTTCATCCATTTCGCATGGGAGCAAACACATGCTACTTACTGGTTTCCAACAGAACATACTCGTAGAAGCGACTGCAGTGCATCAAACGACTCTATCGTGCAAACGACAAGGCGGCTGCCGTGAAACGATAAATTCAACCCCTCCTACGTAAAGTATCATATGTCGAAATTGTCTAGTTTACAGGGGAGCGTTTTAAGTTTTGATTTCACTGAAAGGGTGATTATCTAATAGATCATCATAGATCATCTAACCGATATCTGGGATTTTGTAATACTCTAGGTGAGTAACAAGCTTTGCCGAATAAAACTGAGAAATCATCCAACGCTAAATAAAACATTATGGCATAATGGGAACGCGCACTTACATATAAATTAGAAGCATATGCCACATGGTGCGTTGAAACCATGTGTATCGGACAAAGGGCTAGGAGACGAAGCGGGGAGGCATGCTGCGGAGCGTAAGTTAGTGGCGTAATGACGCATTTACACCGGGTCGTCTGCCGCCTTCGGCAGACTACTTCGCTGTGCTGAAGACGACGCAGTCGACTCGTCGTTTTTATCGAGTCATCTGCCGTCTTCGGCAGACTACTTCGCCTTGCCAAAGGCGACGTTGTCGATTCACCGTTTACATCAAGTCGTACGTACGTTTTTCACAGTCCTCTTTAGAAACGTACACGGACGAAAAAAGTTCACGTGGAATATATTCTTGTGTTAGCTTTCCAATTGTCGTCCTAAAAAAGTAAATAATCTCCCGGCCACACTTGTCTCTAAATCTTTTTGTACTTCTATTTTGGCTTTATACAATCGCCAATACAAAAAACTGGGTGCAGATGCAAAAGTGATTCTTTCAGGTAGAAAGGAAATTCACTACAATTTATCTCCTGATTAATGTAAATTCTAAAATGTATTAGATTTTATCTATATAAACAAAATAACACAAATAATATTCCAATCAATTCAAAATCAAGAGCGGAGAGTGCAAGCCGGAAATCGAATGAATGGGGGTATGCCTTGATGGGTAGACAGAACGTCTCAAGACAGGTGCGTTTGGCTCTTCATCGTTGCTTGCTGGTCCTTACTCTAATATATGGCAGTGAGTGTTGGGTGTGGCAGTAAATGCATGGAAGAAGGGTGAATGCTGTAGAAATTAGAGCTTTGCGTAATATGTGGTATTAGTCTTAAAGACAGAATGCCGAACAGTGTAGTAAGAGAGCGTTGTTTTATGAAAGATGATGTTGTGACCAGGACAGAGAGGATGCTTCAATGGTTTGATTATGTAGGGAGATTGAATTTTGCTTGGTTGGTGAGAGAATGAATCTTTGCTTTCGTTCTACGCTAGTAGCGTAGAAGGTTGGCACAAATTTATAGAGCGAATGTGGATGGAGGCGTGGCGAGAGGTAGACGTAGATAGGGGGAAGCGGAGTAGATACGTACACTTTTTTTTAACTTCAATTTTGGGCTACTACATTAACATTTTTATAATGAATATTTTCTCTGCCTAATTGATGATATAACTAATAAACATTATTAATGTAATCTTGTTTTTCATAAATAATATTGAATAATTGTCAAATTTTGATTTTAACAACAAAATGGGGATTCTCCAAATTCTGTGCAACCTGTGGGGCACTTTGTGAACCAAATTGTGCCATTCCTGTTTACCAAGTACTAGATAATCAACTGCTCATAAAGTATGGCGGTACATTTTTTTTTTATACATGACAGGCAAATGACTCCACTCCACCTGATGTTGAGCGGAAAGTGGTATCCAAACGCGAAGAAACCTAGTGCAGCGATCAAACCCTCACTGCACTAGCCACCTTCACCCTGCCTGCCTACAATATGCCTGTTACGCCTCGTTTGAAGGACCCCATATCATAAAAGGGAGGGAAGACATGTGCCGGAAGGGAGTTCCATTTGTCAACCGTGCGGCAGAGAAAGAAGCCACCGAACCTTTTAGTACGCGATGGAATGCGGCAGGTAGTGAAACGGTGACTACGAAGGCCAGCATGCGTGCTTCTGAGCAGGAACGGGGAAGGGGGGATGAGGTTGAACAGCTCTTATGCCTCAATACTTGCAAGACTAATACTTCTTTCTAGGGCACCACTTGAAAAGTATTCTTTGTAATGTAGTCTTGTAACTAGAAATACAAGAGGAAGAGCTGAGGGGGTTTGTCAAGAGCGGTGGGAGACAGGCGTGGTGATATGTATGTATTATTAGTGATTTATTACACGTAAGCGTAAACGTACCCTTTCAAATAGTCCTTTATTTTAATTAACTGAAAAGCTGCAAAACACGTTATACATGCATGAAAGTACAATGAAAACATTTGAGTATACCTATGAATTACCGAGACAAAGAAAATAACGATATTAACTGGCTCAAAACGAAAAACACTATTGATAAATAATATATTGAAAAACACTACTAACACACGTAATTTTGAAACCGACTTTTATTTTTGATAATGTATGTGTATTTTTTATCAACAATTAACATAACAATAGTTATTAATGGACTTTGCTTCTTTATGCTAGTAATTTATAGGTATACTTAGCTGTGTTCGATATGAAATTTAGATCTATAGGTTAGTTATATATATAAGCTCCTTTAGCTCTTCAGTTTCATTATCAATTATCGGTATTCTGAGGCAAGATGTTGCATTTCTTGGCAATTTTAATACCTGCTTTCAGTGGCATTGTATTTGATTCAGGTACGTATTTATACAATTTTTTATACAAAAGTAAAAATATACTCTCCTACGTATTGATTTTGACACTATTGTTTTATAATGTGTATTATACAGGAACGTAAGTTTTATTTATTTTGCAATAAATTTATTAATTATTTAAATATTCATTTGTACTACATAAGCAAATCATAAGCAATTTATTTATTTGTATTTATTATTACTTATGTAACAATCACGTGTTTCTCTTAAGCAGCATTACTAACCCAAGAACCAATAGTCACTAACGCAGTTTCTCTGAGTTTAGTTAGTTAAAATAATTGCAAGTACGTGGGGCACACTATAAGTTTCCGGAATGAATAAGAAGAAAGTACTATAAATGGTCAGAAATGAAATTATTGTTTCTCAAAATATTCTCCGTTAGCGTTAATGCTCTTTTTCATATGAATGAACCAATTTTGAAAACATTAATGCCACTCCTCCGTGACAAACTCTGAAACATATTTTTATACTCTTCGACAGCCTATTCAGGTGATGAAAATCGTTGACTGCAATAACCAGTTCTTAATTTTTGGAAATAAACAAAAGTCACAAGGTGTCAACGTTGTTGACCTTCAAAAATTCATTTGTCTGTCTGGCCGTGAGAACTGGCATTATCGTGGTGCAAGATGACACGGCATTTACGGTTATTTTTACGAAGTTTATCAATAACTTGCGGCAAACAAATGGTCGTGTACCAAATACTATTCACGGTACAACGATTCTCCAAAGCAACAGTGTCCACTTGTCCAGTTTTATTAAAAAAAGAAGCAATCTTCCGCTTAGAGGCACATTGCACGCGCGCCACTTTAGTTGGTTTCGGCTCATCTCGAAAAACCCGTACCGTCGATTGCTGCTACTATGTCACACACCAAATTTGACGCCCCTTCGTCGGATCTGGTAAGCATGGCATTGCACCAAGTAACGCGATCCGTTTTTTGAGCCTCAGTCAAATTGTGTGGGAACCACCGAGAGCACAGCTTCTTCACACCCAAATGTTTGTGTAATATTGATTTATTTAACTCATGCCTATGCCTAAAGATGTCCGAATCTCATGGTATGTCACATGCCTGTCTGTTTTGATCATACGGCGCACAGCATCGATGTTTTTGTTTTCACAGCAGTCGAATGGCGACCATCACGAAATTCGTCACTGAGATTCACACGACCGCGATTGAATTCTGCAAAATCTGCAATCTTTAAATAGTCGTCTTTGCATGGTGCTACATCGCCAAAAGCAGTTTGAAGCCGAGCGAAGCTCCGCTGAGCTGTTAAATTAAACATACAGTCGTATAAAATCATACTATGAAAATTTTCACGAGTTAAATCCATGGTGATGTAGACAACCAATGTCTAAAATGACGTCATAATGTAAAAACAAGTGACAGTCAGATGAAACAAACTGTGTTTTACAGCCAAAGAGTTCCATTTTCAGATGTTGTAATTACAATGTTTAAATATCGTTAAGTAAGTGACCAATCCCGGAAATTTATAATGTACCCTATGCAACACTTGCAAGTTTTTCATACCGTAAAATGAGTACAATTTCTTTTGCTTTCTATTATTTTTATTGTTTCAGAAACAAGTAGAAATATATATATTTATTGCGTTACAACTCAATAGATTATTTTACCCAATTAATTCCTCGCATTCCTGGGCCGGAGCTGTCAAACACCAGTATAATCCACTTGACTCCATTCAATATCGGGCTGTTCGTGTTGTCGATGATCTCAAACTCACAGGGGGTTTGGAGTCCCTTAGTCTACGGAGAGGCGTTGGCTCTCTGTATGTTTTCTACCGTCTTTATAATGTTGAGTGCCCAGAGGAACTTTTCCAACAGGTTCCACACAGGTCACATTTCCCGCTAAAGGTCATTGATGCCTGGCATTGTAAGACCACGCGGGCATCACGTTCGTTCTGTCTTCGAACTTCTAAAAATACTCCTCCTTTGCGTTGTGACATGGGGGCTCTCCAAAATGCGTGTCAACAAAGTTCTCAAAGGCTGGCAATGCGCAAATAGGTCATTTGATGTTGTAAATGTACATGGGCGACGATGGTCTTCTCCCTCAAGTGGTTCGTCTGCTCGTATCCTACTTTATTTATTTATTTATTTTTATTTATTTATATTTTGGAGGGCACAAACAGCTTATATTACAATAAAATAGAGACTTAATTAAATAATTTGAAGCAAAACAGTTCCCTACTGATAAAAATACAATAAAATTTGATGCATTGATAACAGTAAGTAATTACTTTATATTATTAAATAATGTAATTCATCTCATTATTTTCTCAGGTGATGCTCGGATACCTCCAACTACTCCGTGCTGTCCTCCAAATGAGGTATATTCTTGCGACCCCATATGTCCACCTGATACCTGTTGCGCTTTAGACGAAGAGTACGACTGTTGCAATGCCACGTCACCGCCTTACAAAACTGGATGTAGATGCAAAGATGGCTACTACAGATTGTACGAGAATGGTCCATGTGTTCCCGCTTGTGACTGTACTAAAGCTCCCTACAGTTGTCCTCCAAATGAAGTATATTCTTGCGACCCCATTTGTCCACCCGATACTTGTTGCGCTTTAGACGATGACTACGACTGTTGCGATGCCACGTCGCCGCCTTACAAAACCGGATGTAGATGCAAAAAAGGCTACTATAGATTGCATGAGAATGGTCCTTGTGTTCCTGCTAAGGAATGCTGTAATGCTCCCTACAGTTGTCCTAAAAATGAAATATATTCTTGCGAGCCGATATGTCCACCTGATACCTGTTGCTCGATCGGCAAAAAGTACGATTGTTGCGATGCTGATTCGCCACCTTACAGTACTGGATGTAGATGCAAAAAAGGCTATTACAGATTGTATGATGGCGGTCCATGTGTTCCCGCTTGTGACTGTCCTAAACCTCATCACCCAATAAAGACACCTAAAAAGGAACCATATTCTTATGCCTCTGCTGCTTCTGCAGCTTCTGCTTCTGCCTATGGTTCTGGTTGTGGTACTGCATCTGCTTCTGCTTCTGCTTCTGCATACGCAAGTGGCTAATCAATGTTGACACAGAATGGTCCATACATTTCTCTATGTAACTGACCTCAAACTTTCAACTGTTGCCCAGAAAGTGAGGTATATGTTCCCTCTCCGTCATGTTTTTTTAGATTTATGTTATTCTATTTATACTAAATCGACTGCAGTAAATTAATTGCAAACTCAATTACAAAATGCAACAATAGTTACAAGAGGATAGATACGACAACACACGTGTATGGATACTTATTAATCAGTAAATATGTATAAAAATGTAAATTGTTTTTATATTTATATACTTATAGTCCTTTATTTTTAATAAATAGCGATACTAAAGAACATACATGAACGTCGTGACAGTGACCTTCATTTAGTAGGTTTTATGTAGCGCCAGGCTAAGCATCTTTAAATCTGAATCTGAAATCAGTCAGAAAAAGAAAACGCGACAGTCACTAGTTTCCGTGTGACTGTGGTGTAAGAGCCGTTCTAGTCCCTATACAAAGTCTAGTAGAAGTAGAACTCCTTGTGAAAGAGTTGGTCCAGGGTAGTATTGCCACCTTACCTATTTCTGGCGCCAAGCAGTAATGGCAGCATTATTATATTCAGGTTTTGAAGTGTGCTGGTGAAATTACAGGCACATGGGACTTGTCAACTTATGTCTCAGGTGACGGGCGCAGTGCCAGTGCCCCTCAGATCTTTGCGATTTAAAGCTCTGAGTGGCCTGCAACTTATAAGAACAGGCGTGTAGCTTATCAGCACGCACACAAATTGTTCGTCCCGTCACTAGATATTATTAAAAAAAAACACATTGAATTAGTCTTATACACTTTTAAATTATATAAGGTAATGAAACTATTTTTCCGGATTTAAATCGCGTATATTTGTTTTTTCAAACAAACAAATGTACGCGATTTAAATCCGGAAAAATAGTTTCATTTCCTATGTGTAACAATCGCGAAAACCTTTTGGTTGATATTAATGATATTTATAATGATCGACGATTGTCGTTACGGATTTTTTTTAATCCCTTTAGTTTTAGAGCTATTCCGCTAAAACGAATTTAGCATTTACGACATTTTAATGCGCAAAAGACAACATGTCCTGTCGCATGTCACGGGAACTTCGAGCATATAATTATGTTGAGTGTGTGTGTACTTTATATAATTGTTTCACAAATTAGTTACTATCACTCCGTCGAGACGAGAGGTCGTTGACAGAATTTGCGGCTGAGCTGTTTAATCGTCATCGTAAATTATCAATATTGATGGCTAATTGTCGAAGGTAAGTTTGTGAATTACCTACCTATTATGAACGGTAAAATAAAAAATATTATTTTCA